CTGGCGCGATCAGGGCCGTGGCGTGACACTAGGACAGTTCGGTTTTTATATTTAACCATCCACCGCGTTCTATTTGTGACTTTTGGCCGTTTCAGTCGGAAGTTATCGACGAAGTCTTTTATTTCCTCGTCGAGCAGTGCTAGCGCGTGGCCACGCGCGTCCGGGGGGTTAACTTCTTCGCCGGGGGTGCAGCTATTTTCGGCGGTGTCCCCATTGTTTGGCGGTCCGCCTGTTTCCGTGCCTACGATGCTGGGTTCGCATTCGGGTGCTCGTGGCCCGGCGGGGCTGGGTGATCGCTCGTTGTTGGCGGGCGCTTCCACGATTGCGCCAAGAGGTTCGCCCGGTGCGGCGGCTGCCGCCAGGAGTGGTGGCCCTCGAAAGATTTGGACCAGCTGAATCCTGGCTTTGTTGGGTGGCCAGGGTACGCTTTCGAACGGCGGACACCATGGTTGGACGCGTTGTGGTTCATCCGGCGGAGCTGGGTGGCGATTTCTGCGACTCATCACTTCGGTGTATCTGACGTGACTGGCGGGGTAATCTGAAATGATAAGATAGAGAACGGGTTTCTGTTGTTATGCGTTGAACGGCTTCAGGTCCTGCAGGTGCGCGTGCGTTGGTTGTTTGTCGGGCCGCTCGGGGTTTACGAGTGTCACCGTGTTGGAGGAGATGTATTTGGTGATCGTATATGGGCCTGAGAATTTCGGCGCGAGCTTCTGAGCATAGTTGTCGGCAGCCGAGGAGAGGGGGTGATCTCGCTTCATCACCTTCTCTCCTACTCTAGGTTTCCACGGCCGTCTGCGTAGGTCGTAGTACCGTTTTTGCTGTTTGGCCGCCGCGGCGAGGTGCCCCTTTATCTCTGCCCATAGCTCGGTGATGGCTGGGGATGCCATGGGATGTTCCTCGGGTACTGCCCCTTCGGTGCGCATCTGCCGTGGCGCCGCTGGATTGCGTCCGAAGTTGATCTCCGCGGCGGATGCTCGCGTTGATTCGTGCTGGGCCGTATTGATGGCAAAGGCGATCTGGGAGAGCTCCTGATCCCAGGTACGATGATCTGTCCTTGAACGCTGTGCTATCATGGTTTTAACTACCCGATTGGTTCGTTCGGTCGGGTTTTCATGAGGAGCGTAGGCTGCGGTGAATTTGTGCTCTATGCGGTGCTCGCTGAGAAATTCCGCTAGGGCTTTACCCACAAACTGCTTTCCGTTGTCGCTGAGAAAGATGGCTGGGCAGCCAAACCGGTAAATGATTCTCTCCCGGAGTGCCTTGATGACGTTGGCGGTGGTGGCTTGGCGAACGGGAACTAACTCAACCCATTTAGAAAATTTGTCGACCAGGACGAGGAGGCACGTGTTTCCTTGTTTGGAGCGTGGAAGTGGTCCTACGAAGTCGGCCGTGACGATTTCCCATGGTTGCGAGCACTGCATGGTGGCCATTAATCCTACATCGACTTCAGCATTGATCACCTGTTGCATGGCTGGATTGCGGGGGTAATAACGCTGTTTCAGCGGCCGGTTATGCTTAAGGGTGATCACATGCTCAGCGGCGGTGCTTGGTCCGTTAATCCCACTGAAGGTCTGTTGGTGGTGTGCCAGGAATTCGGCCAGCTGCTTATTCTGTTCTCCGTTCAGATGCTCTCTCTCGGTTAATGTGTATAGCTGGGCGGGTGCATCCGTTGTTCGCGGGGTGGGTGCGGGCAGTGGTTGTCCGTCCAGGGTAAGGATGGCCTCTCTGTCCCTAAGGAAATCCATCCCCAGGATCATGCGTTCGGCAAGATGTGGGAGTGCCGAAGCCAGGGTGGTTGTGGCTCGCTTGTTGTACATTATCCTTACTGGATAAGTGTACAAGCTGGAGACGCATGTTTGATCGGCCAGTTGTACATTTCGGTGATTGGGTCGATGCTGGATTTTCCTCTCTTCCAGGTGTTGACGTATGGACTCGTCAATGTAGGTGAGCGTTGCGCCGGTGTCCAATAGTGCCCGTACGCTGATACCTTCTACGCTCACATTGATGTAGTAGCGACCATCTGCTTTTCCTACTTGTTGGGTGTTAGTGTCTACAGGGACGGCGGCGATCGGAGCTGTTCCGGTGCTGCGTATTTTGCGGGGCGGCTTAGCGGTGGCAGTGTTGCACGGACAATCCCGGGAGAGGACGTTATCTCGGCCGCATCTAGAGCAGAACAGCCTTTTTGTCCTTCGGCATCGGAAGCGGAGGTGGCCGCGTCCTTTGCAACGCCAGCAGGATTCCTCTCTGCTGTACCTTTCTTCTAGGGGAGCTAGGCTGTGTGCTGCTTGTCGGCTGTTTCTGGCCTCTTCACCCTTCAGAAGCTCAAATTCGTCGGTGAGATCCATCAGCTCCTCGATCGTTTTAAACTCCCCTCGCTTGACGAAGAGACGATACTCCACACGTAGACCATCGTAGATGCGTTCCAAGTGATCCTCTCCGCACATGGTCGGGTGTTGGCGTATAAGCGTTTGTAATGCCAAGATGTAATCCTTGGCCTTCTCTCGGCTTTGTTGGCGTCGCTGCCGGATGGCATCTTCGAGCTGACTCATGTGTCGCCGTGGAAGAACCGCTCTATTTCTGCACGAAACGCTGCCCACGAATGTAGCTGTGGTTTTCGTACGCGGAACCATTGGAGAGCCTTCCCGCGTAACACTTCAGGTAGGGTTGGGAGGAGGTTGTCTAGCGGGATGCGGTAGCATTCGGCTAGCTCTTCGATCCTCTCCAAGAAGTCGTGTAGCGCGTCGCCTCCCGAAAAATGTACGTCCCATCGGCGAACGGTATTCATTAGCTCGGCGTCGCTGATCTCGCCACGCTTTGTTGCAGGCTTCATCTCCAGTGGCGGTGGACTATAGTTGTCGATCCGGACGGTGGGCATGGTGCTGGGCTGCATTTTTACTGGTCTCTCCTCTTCTGCTTTAATCTCCTCTTCCAAATCTCTTAATAAATCCTCTGTTGATTTGCGATGTCGCTTCGCTTTTACATATGCGCTAAGCGCGTTGCGCAGGTCGGCGGCTGTATATCCCTCTACGAAAATTCGATGCCGCTTGCACTCCTCTATTAACTTCTCCTTCTTTAGCAGATATATCCAGCTGAGGGAGTCGACGTTCAGTGTATTGGTGTTACTCTCCCTGGCGCGTGTGTCATCTGTTGGTTGTGGTGTGTTCGGCGAGCCCGCTTCCGCAGTGTTGGTGCTTGTTAAGTTTTTTGCACATGCGCCTGCAGAGCTGGGTCCCTGCTCGGGCGCCATTTATGAGGTGGGTTTTGTCAAAGGCTGAGGTGAACTCAGCCGATCCAGAGTCCGGCGAAGGTCCCACTAACCCCCACCAAATAAAACACACTATTTTAGTGTATTTACTTCGAACACACACACACACACGGCGCTACGACTAGAGTGCTAGCAACCTTATGTCCAAAGAGAGGGAGAGAGAGAGAGGTGACGTTCGTTGTGGTCGTGCGGTCGGGTCGGAGCGGATGATGGCGAGAGCGCTAGCAGCACGGCGGTTGACTCTCAGGAGCAGCGCAGCAGCGGTGAGAGCGCTAGCAGCACGGCGGGTGGCTCTCAGGAGCGGCGAAGCAACGGTGAGATCGCTAGCGGCATGGCGGGTGACTCTCGGCAACAGCGGAGCAACGGTTGAGCGGCGGCGGCACAGCGGGTGACTCTCGGCAACAGCGGAGCAACGGTTGAGCAATGGTGGGAGCGCTAGCAGCACAGCGGGTGACTCTCGGCAACAGCGGAGCAACGGTTGAGCAGCGGCGGCGGCACAGCGGAGCAACGGTTGAGCAACGGCGGCGGCACAGCGGGTGACTCTCGGCAACAGCGGAGCAACGGTTGAGCAACGGTGGGAGCGCTAGCAGCACAGCGGGTGACTCTCGGCAACAGCGGAG